AATACTAGAAAATAACAATGGGATAACAATAGAAAATTGAAAAGTTATTTATTAAATATATTTCTATTAAACCATTCTTCAAATCTGGAAAATAAATCGTTTACATTTGTGTAGAAACAAAATCATTTATTATTCATTTTTACGATCTTGTAATACATAATATTTTTTTTTTTTCTTACTCTATGTTAGTTGTTTTGTCTACGTCATAGGAAACTATTGATTGTCGATTCAATGTTAAATATCTTTGATTTTTGTAGTCACTAATTTTGGTATTCCGTAAGGTTATTTTGGTATTTAGTTTACCCATGAAATTAGTCGCAAATTCATTCCATAATGTTAAAGTTATCTGTAGGTATATTTAAAATTAAAAATTATTAAATAGCGAATCAAAAAAAAAAAAAATAAATATATACCTTTTCATTACTATCATCGATTAGGACTATTTCTTTTTTATCGTATATTTGGCCATTTTTAGAAAATACATTATCTACTTCACCCACAGCATCAATAACAGCGTTTATATCTGTAAGTGATTAATTTTTTTTTTTTTTGGAAAATTTTGATTTGATAATTGTTATATAAGGTGAAATAATGAGTGTTTCATTATAATTTCATACTTATAAATATTTGATCTTCTAGATTTTGAATTAAGTTTATTTTGGTGAACTTAACATTTTCAATGTCCTTTTTTTCAATACGTCTAAATTCATCTTTCAATCTAAAGAAATTATATTAATATTTTTTTCCTAATTTTATTAAGAACTACCAATTATTTACCTATTCGCCTCAGGAAAGTCAGGATTTATTATTATTTGTGATGCACTTGTTAAAACCAAAGTTTTCTGGGTTTTATACTCACCAATTTTTACATTACTGATGGCTTTATATATATCATTCTTTTTCCCTTCAAAATTATTAATATTTTTCATTCCACAAATTTAGTACAATCTGCATATAATTTCTAAATTAATAATATCTTATATCTTATATTGTAATTATTGTCTGTTATTATCATTTCTATTTATGTTTTTAAAAGTGGACTATTGCTTAATATTATATACAAAATTAATACTGTTTTTAATCCTTCGTCAATCAAAATGATTTCTTGTTTTTTTATATGTTTCACCATTTGAAGCAGATATTTCTGTTGGTTCTTTAAGGTCATTAATTATTGCTATATATATCTGTAGAACAAGTTTTATAATAACTATCATAATTTTTTCCAAACTTATCTATAACAATTAATTTTACCAATGATGGTGTTTTCACTTTATTAAAAATTGTATGAATTTTCATAAATTTATATTCTTTTAAAATTTGTTCTCTGACTAGTAAGTAATTTTTTTTTGTTCCATTCAAAATATACCACTGTGATAAGCTGTGATTAAAAATAAATTATCAATATATTAATTTACAAACAAATTACAAAATATATCAATTTGCATTCTTATTTACTTTTTTACATCATCTAAATTAGGATTTATTAGAATTTTTGTGGTAAAATGTAAATTTAAACTCTTTATTCCATAATAATCAGAAACTTTGATATTTTTTAAAACAATTACGTCATTTCTATCACCATCAAAATTGTCTATTTGATTTGAATTCCATAACACTAATGAAATCTAAAAAGATTTATCGATAAATGATAGTAAGTAATACAATACTTTTTTTTAAAATACAATATCTTTTTTACAAAAGATAAATTCTTGTTACCTTTGAATAAGTATCATCAACAATTTCAATTTCCTTCCTTTTTAATTGCATTCCAGCGTTTGACAAGGATATTTGTATAGATCCCATATTATTAATAATGCCAATTATATCTGAAATTTTAAAATATTAATATATTGATATCTTAACCAAGTTAACATTCACCTATCATTGTATCTTTATTAATTTTTGATAAATTATTCAGCTTAATAAAATCAAAATCAAATTTAATTATAGAATTATCTTCTTCATTTACTATCTGGATTTCTGATTTTTCTGTTAGTAATATTTCAAAATCATGGTTTAATTTATTGAAGCTTGAATTTTTTTTTCTAATCACACCATTTTTTACATAATAAACTTCCTGAATCTAAATTATGGGAGTAATAAATGAAATTTAACAAAATATTAAAATATTAATTTAATTAAATATACCTTAATTAAATCGTAAAATTGATCTAAAATCCTTCCAAACGCCACACATCTTATTTCTCCACTTGTATCAATTAAATCAAAATTGAATAATTTATTTCCATTATTATGAAATGTATTTACTGTTGATTTATTTGTAATCTTTCCTTTCACTGTAGATCTTAATGATTATAAAATGGTATATACATTATATAATGAGATTTATTTTAATATTGTACCTAGTAAATAAAAATGTTAATCTTTCATGTTTTCTTTTAATTCTGAAATCTTGGTTAATTTAACATTTTGTACTATATTATCTGAGGTTATTTTCTTTTCTACAGTTTTTTCTATTTTATCCATGGTTTCAACTCTTTTCTTTTCTTCAGATATTACTCTCGGTTTGTGATTGTCAGTTTTTACCTCTGCTTCTGTAATAACTGTATATTAGAATATATAAATAAAATTCAAGAATATTTAGAATGTTCAAAGATCAATTTCGAAAATCGATTAAAACAACAACCAATGAACGAGTCTGCAGCTGGTGATTTTATATTTCACAAGACTATTGGCATGGGTGCTTTTGGACGTGTTATGTTAGTCAATCACAAATTGAAACCAGAACAACTTTTAGCTATGAAAGTAAGAAATGGGAAGGCCGTATTATAATATTATATAAAAGTTTTATTACTTATAAAGTTACGAGGAATAGGTACAACACAGAATATATTTTGCTAGTTTCGACTTTTTAAAGGTACTCAATTTATATTTTAATATAACTAAGGGATTAATCATATGAAAAATGAATATAAGAATTCAGCCAATTTATTTACGAGTAATTTGTATTTCTTTCAGCCATAGAATTTTATTTAAATAAATATATGTGCACATTTCGTTGTTGTATGGCAACTCGTCTGATATTAACGATTGTTTCGTTATTGAGACTTATAATTTTGATATTAAAAATTTATGTCATCCATGTGCCAGTCCGGGCGTGCATCGTTCTGCCAATAACTATATTTTTGGTTCCGCCAAAACTATTTTTCTTTTTACAAGCTTCATTGCATTATCCGGCAGTTACCAGCAGGAGGCATCCCTCATCGATTTCATATTCATTTTGTATAAAATACGTTTTAGATTATGAGTGTGATGAATGCATTTTTATTTTTTATGTCTGTCATTATGAATGTCATCACTTTTTGGAACAGTGAAAATGATTTGATTATAATTAATATTGAAGGTAATTTTTGGTAAAAATTTGACCTAGTTGATACTTTGTGAAAATGGGTGGGGGGAGGGGGGTTGAAAATTTCCAGTATTATTTTTATTGTTCAAACAAAAAATTAAAGAAAAACGCGAATTTTTAAGCAAAAACAATTTTTAACAAATTCAATATGGTTTTTTTGGTATAACTCCAAACAAATATGTGATAAGTTATAAGCATATTTTTTAGGGAATATTTAATAGTTTTTTAGAGCATATAAATCCTAACCCTAGTGATAACCGTAGGTGTATAAACATTCATTTTTAAATAAACATTTTAAGAATTTTTGCGCTTTATCAAAAGGCTTGAAAATGTCATAGAAAGATCCTGTCAAGTAATTAATCATGTAACCAAAAAATATAAAAAATACATAAACACTGTTTTCTTTAATAGACATTTTAATTTCCAATTTGGACAAAATTAGTTTTTTGAACAAAGAATATCAATTTTAGTATTTTTTCTATAAATTAAATAATATTATTTGGCATAATTTAAACTTTGGAAATATATTATTTATTATATTATAGAAGCTCAGTATCATTTTCAATTCATAAACATCAGTCAAAAAGTATATTATAGCCATATTTTGTTTTCCATATAGTCAGAAACTCAAACTTACATCCAAAGTGTTGAATTTTTCTTTACCAAAGGTTGGGTCAAATGAAATCGAAATACAATAATTTTTGGAGTTGGTTATAATGAAAGTTCCTTGTAACTTTATAAGTAATAAAACTTTTATATAATATTATAATATGTCCTTCCCATTTCTTACTTTCATAGCTAAAAATTGTTTCTGGTTCGATTTGTGATTGACTAACATAACACGTCCAAAAGCACCCAAGCCAATAGTCTTGTGAAATATAAAATCACCAATCTCAGACTCGTTCATTGGTTGTGGTTTTAATCGATTTTCGAAATTGATCTTTGAGCATTCTAAATATTCTTGAATTTTATTTATATCTTCTAATATACAGTTATTATCGTGTGGAGTAGTAATACCGTATTCAACACTCTTCTTATTTTTTATACTACCCGACGACATGATTTAATTGAATTTTTTTTCCCAGATTAATGCCAGAAACTGAGGAAAGTAACTATTGTTTATAATATTTAACCTTATATATTTGTTTATTTTTGTTGCTCGGATAACTCCATCTGTTTTGTATATTTCAAAACTAAAATATGTTTATATAAATTGGAAAAAATAAAGTACATTTGAAAAATATGTTTTTACATTTATCATTGCACAAGAATAAATTAAGTACATACCTATACAAGAATTTATGATAAAAATGTCAAAAGATTTTAATTAAAAAAAAAAATATATTTATATATAGTAAACATCTATAAATAATTAATATCTATGATAGGAACTCGTACTTGATTATATTATAATAAAGCTTGCTGGTATACAATATTTTTTGTTTTTCCATTTGGACTGTATATATATAAATTTTGAGGATCTCCTCCCCGTGAACATGCTACATACAATTGACCGTGTGACAAGCATGATTCTTCTAGTAAAACTCCAGTACATTTATTTATTGTAAAAGCAAACGCAAGTTTCAATGGAAATTGTAATCTTTCAAATTTAAATGGTAGATCCGTTGGCCTAATGGGTATCATTTGTGCCTTTCCCATATCCAGTTAATACAGTTGCTTCCAGTACATTCGTATTTAATGTTTTTATACATAAACGTGTACCATTGCACAATATAGGTGGTTGTAGATTTCTTAAAAGCATGACAGGAATGCCCGTTTTCAAAATTAATTTATGAGGTGGCAGACCAGATATTTCAAAAGAATTTAGAAACTCCATTGGATAATTAATGGCATTGTCAGGATCACACATATTATCGATTGATTTATATTCTATATTTTCTCCTTGCAGTGAATTTAATATATCTTCATTCAGTTTATTGACTTTTGTATTTTTTGGTGCAAGAATAGCCCTTTCACATAACCATTCTTGATTTACATGATTTTTTTGTTCGTTTTTTTTTTTATGTATTTTAGAAAAATATGTTTACTTTTAATCACCATCGCTCTGAAAATGATTTTTTTATGGTTTATTTTAAGAAAATTAGATTTTAACGAGCAAAACTACCTATATTTACTACAAAACCTAGTTAGGTTAGCTTATAAGTTCAACAAATATTTTCATAATAATTAAAACTTGACATCGGTGAGTAAGGTTATTTTTTTCTTAATTAGTGGTTTTTATTTACAAAAGAGTGTAAAAGTGAAAATATAATATCTCAAGTAGTTTTAGGATGTTTTAATTTATTGGTATTACATATTGTGCGGTAGAGGTAACTGCTACAGTAATAAATAAATTATCACACAATTATCTTACTGTAATATATTTACTTGTCACACATTTATCGATAAAATAAATGTCACATGAAATGTCTGTTTAAACCTTTTGTTATAGATTATTATGATCCAACTACCTTAAATATAATATATAAAATTAAAATCTTTGACATTGTTAATCCTTAAATTCTTGTATAGGTATGTACTTAATTTATTCTTGTGCAATGATGAATGTAAAAACATATTTTTCAAATGTACTTTATTTTTTCCAATTTATATAAACATATTTTAGTTTTGAAATATACAAAACAGATGGAGTTATCCGAGCAACAAAAATAAACAAATATATAACAATAAATATTATGTACATAGTTTCTTACCCCAGTTTCTGGCATTAATCTGGAAAAAAAAAATTAAATTAAATCATGTCGTCGGGTAGTATAAAAAATAAGAAGAGTGTTGAATACGGTATTACTACTCCACACGATAATAGCTGTATATTAGAAGATATAAATAAAATTCAAGAATATTTAGAATGCTCAAAGATCAATTTCGAAAATCGATTAAAAGAACAACCAATGAAGGAGTCTGAGATTGGTGATTTTATATTTCACAAGACTATTGGCTTGGGTGCTTTTGGACGTGTTATGTTAGTCAATCACAAATCGAAACCAGAACAATTTTTAGCTATGAAAGTAAGAAATGGGAAGGCCATATTATAATATTATATAAAGTTTTATTACTTATAAAGTTACAAAGAACTTTCATTATAACCAACTCCAAAAATAATTGTATTTCGATTTCAAGGTATTAATTTTATGAAAAATGAATATAAGAATCCAGCCAATTTATTTAATTTGTATTTCTTTCAGCCATAGTATTTTATTTAAATAAATTGATGTGCACATTTCGTTGTTGTATGGCAACTCGTCTGTAATTAACGATTGTTTCGTTATTGAGATTTATAATTTTGATATTAAAAATGTATGTCATCCATGTGCCAGTCCGGGCGTGCATCGTTCTGCCAATAACTATATTTTTGGTTCCGCCAAAACTATTTTTCTTTTTACAGCTTCATTGCATTACCCGGAAGTTACCAGCAGGAGGCATCCCTCATCGATTTCATATTCATTTTGTATAAAACACGTTTTAGATTATGAGTGTGATGAATGCATTTTTATTTTTTATGTCTGTCATTATGTACGAGTATGTCATCACTTTTTGGAACAGTGAAAATGATTTGATTATAATTAATATTGAAGGTCATTTTTGGTAAAAATTTGACCTAGTTGATACTTTGTGATAATGAGGGGGGGGGGGTGAAATTTCCAGTATTATTTTTATTTGTTCAAACAAAAAATTAAAGAAAAACGTGAATTTTTAAGCAAAAACAATTTTTAACAAATTCAATATGGTTTTTTTGGTATAACTCCAAACACATATGTGATAACCGTAGGTGTATAAACATTCATTTTTAAATAACCATTTTAAGAATTTTTGCGCTTTATCAAAAGACTTGAAAATGTGATAGAAAGATGTAACCAAAAAATATAAAAAATACATAAACACAGTTTTCTTTAATAGACATTTTAATTTCCAATTTGGACAAAATTAGTTTTTTGAACAAAGAATATCAATTTTAGTTATTTTTCTATAAATTAAATAATATTATTTGGCATAATTTAAACTTTGGAAATATATTATTTATTATATTATATAAGCTCAGTATCATTTTCAATTCAAAAACATCAGTCAAAAAGTATATTATAGCCATATTATGTTTTAAATATAGTCAGAAACTCAAAACTTACACCCAAGTGTTGAATTTTTCTTTACCAAAGGTTGGGTCAAATGAAATCGAAATACAATTATTTTTGGAGTTGGTCATAATGAAAGTCCAACTTTATGAATCGCAACTTCGAAATTAACGGATGTGTGATATGGATTGAAATTTAGATTATTTTTATTATATAATATATTCGCTGTCAATGATTCTTTGTAAGTTTCAACTTTTTATCTTTTTATAAGTAAAAACCACGAGCACATAATTTTCAATTTGGAAACCATGGATAGTTGGGTGAAAATTTTCCTGTACCTGCTCGTGATTGAAGAAAACAAAAATTTAATGTTTTTTTTTTTAGTTTTGGCGGAAACGATGACCTAATAGATTCACCCCTCGATTCACCCCAATCTGATGCAGACTAAGACAATTAACTCACACTATCATGATAACGCTCTAATAGTTAATAGTTATATTATATATTATATATTTATATTAATATTAATAGTTCAGAACCTTCAGACCCCACTGTACCTTGCTGTCTAAACTATAAGTCTCTACTAAAATGTCCAAACATTAATCAATTATTTTATTATTTGTTATATATTTTTTTTGATTATCATTAACTAAACATTCAAACCATCATATCCTAAAACACACGGTGACCCTTTTCAACTGTTCCCTTCTCATGGACATAACCCATCTTACGCCTCTGTTGAAAACATCAAAATGGCTAATAATTCTATAAATTATAAATCTAATTATCAACATTTTTTTCCAAATTATTTATTTAATCATTTATCAATATTATTACATTTCACTTCATACCACCTTTTTATAAAAACAATAAAATACCAATATCATAGTCTAATAATTTTTGAAACTCAGTTTTAGTATTAACATGACGCAATTAATTATTTAAAATTCGTTATTATTGTACTTTCTTCGGTATTATAATTTTATTATATTAATAACTCATAATTTATTATTTCTTGTTATAATTTTGACTCATTATTAAATTATATACTTAGTTATCTGAATTCATCTCGTAATCGTTGATGTACTTATAGTTTTGTCGAAAGCTAATAAATTACAAAAAAATTTATTTGTCGTTACCATTTACCGATACAGCCTTGAAATCCAATGTATTTATAGATTATGAAGAAAGAGCAAATATAAAGAGAAATTATTTACAACACGAATTAATGAGAAACAACTGTTGTCAAAATTTACGACATCCGTTCAGTATACAACTGGAGTATTGTGCAAAGGACATATGCAACTTATTTCGTTATGCCGTTCATAGTAGGAGGAGACTTATTCGGTTTAATGAGTGAACGAGGTGTACTAGACGAATTGCATGCTATGTTTTATGCGGGTCAGATGGTCCTAGCACTTCAATATTTACATTCGCTGGATATAATCTATAGGTAATTAATAATTGTATTAAACGGTATAGACTCGATGTCAGAAGTTATAATTTGTTATGGCCGACAGTTAGGGGTGGATTTGGGTTTAGTCTTAAGGCATGTTGTCCACAATGAAGTAATATGCGGCTGCACTCTTTATATTAGTATAGAATTAAGTTATTTGCAGTATTTCCTGTTAAGTACACAAAAACCGTCTTAAAATTATCCTTCAAACGGACCTACATGGCATTACGAGTTTACTGATAACGAGTATTTAACACATATCAAAACCGTCATATTTCAAAAAGCCAAACTCTTATCATTTATATAAAGTGTAAATAATACAAATTTCTATTAGAACGAATGGCTTAAGCTCAAAATGTCTTATTTATAAATGATTAAAATATTAATTTTAAAAACCTTTCTTAAAATCAAGTTTTTTATTTGGACATTAAATTTATTCAATAGATACTTTTCTAAATATCGTAAACAGTTATGTGGTACCTTAAGTAAGTTTATACAAATTACATTTTGATTCACAACAAATTTATATAATATTATTATATTTAAGTATCTGAAAATGAAATTATAAGTACCTCCTTTATTTAATTTATTATTGTATATTATTAGATACGATTTATGTACAAATAGAATAAAATACAATATGATCGTATATGGTGAATACAAATTTAATTTATAATTCTTTTTTATAATCATATTTGAACATTAATATTAAAGTTATTGATATACGAACGGGCTTTGACATTTAGTTTATGAATTATGAATAGGTACTTTATTATATTATAATAATATACTGTTACTACATTATATAATCATAATATCAAATAAGTATTCATAACCGTTCTTATGGATTATGAATACACATCATAATAAATTGTAAAAAATATACTTGAGAGTGTTATGTAGGTCTTTAAAACATAGAAACGCTGAAAAAATTTAAGTGAATTCACTATAACGTAATGTTATAAAATGTAAAGGTAAAGATGCTCAACTAATGCAATTTATAGGTTTTGATAATTAAAAAAATATTTATATTTTAATTTTGAAACAAGAATTTTAAAATTGTAATATTTTACATTTTTAAAACTCACTTTAAAATTATAATATCAATATTAACCTACGATTAGCCTTGGACAATATTCTTACCATTAATTTTTTTGCGTAAATAAATTTTCTAGATAACATGTTGTACGTTGGTAAGACCTGGCATTTATATATCATTATTATTTCAATAGGGATTTGAAACCTGAAAATGTGTTGATTGCCGATGATGGTTTTATAAAATTAACAGATCTGGGATTGAGCAAGCGTATAATTTCCAATCGAACGACCACTCTGTGTGGTACTCCGTACTATTTGGCACCAGAAATCATAGCAATTAAACCGTACGGAAAACCCGTGGACTGGTGGGCATTAGGCATAATCATGTTTGAAATGGTTGCTGGGACAGTGCCATTCATGGCTGACACTGAAAAAAAACTGTTCTATAGAATCTTGAGCGGTAGTTACAAAATGCCAATCAATTTTTCCTCAAACCTTTCACATCTTATCAAAAACTTACTACGAGTCGACCTATCAAAAAGATATGGAAACTTAGTAAATGGAATTTCTGACATCAAACATCACCGGTAAGATAATTAATTATTTTGGAGGACAGTTAAAAAGCGTAATGTGTGCATTGTAAATAAGTACATAACCTTACAAACGAATTCTACGTTTTCATTATGTTTTAAAAAGTGCCTAAATCCATACATATTTATAGAGAAACCACGATTTTAAAATTTGATACTTTTGAACTTCGTAGGTATTATATTTAAGGTAGTTGGATCATAATAATCTATTACAAAAGGTATAAACAGACATTTCATGTGACATTTATTTTATCGATAAATGTGTGACAAGTAAATTAATTATAGTAAGATAACTGTGTGATAATTTATTTATTACTGTAGCAGTTACCTCTACCGCACAATATGTAATACCAATAAATTAAAACATCCTAAAACTACTTTAGATATTATATTTTCACTTTTACACTCTTTTGTAAATAAAAACCATTGATTAAGAAAAAAATAACCTTACTCGCCGATGTCAAGTTTTAATTATTATGAAAATATTTGTTGAACTTATAAGCCAACCTAACTAGGTTTTGTAGTAAATATAGTTTTGCTCGTTAAAATCTCATTTTCTTAAAATAAACAATAAAAATATCGTGATTTTCAGAGCGATGGTGATTAAAAGTAAACATATTTTCCTAAAATACATAAAAAAAAAACGAATTTGGTGTAAACATTGAGTATAAAAATGGTCACAAATAATATCTGTCGCGATATAAAAGTTGTGTGAGGATTAATTTAGTATTTAATGGTCATTATAACTATTAGTCATTAGATGACTGAAATGTGTGTTACATAATATATATATTAAATATTTTTGTTTGATAAATAGTGTAGGTAACTACAATGTTTTTTTTTCAGATGGTTTATCAAAATAGATTGGATAATGCTCTACAATAAGAAATTGGTACCACCATACATACCAACTTTTACTAGTCCATCAGATACACATAACTTCGAATCATTTGTCGAAGAAGCCGCCTCTATTGCATGTAATGGGGTTGACCAAACTTATTTCGCCGATTTTTAACTGAACATAATAAATAATGAGCAACAAGTATATTACATAAAATAATAATGTCATAACTGTAAAATTTCATCCAATGTAAGAGTGGATCTTAGTTCAAAATAGGATATTTTAGCTTATAAAATTATTCAACAGATCAATTTTATTAATAAATGTATATTATTTGTTTTTAAAAGGACGTCACATCATGTTTCTTAAATAGTGTGATAAAATCATATTTTAACGTTGGGTAATAACCACTGTTCTTGGTTACCACTTTCTTACCATAATATAATTAGGAAACATTGGACTGTAAAATATCGATTTAATTTTTTTGTTAATAACAAACATAAAATGTCATGTAAAATCTGATATTTTTATGTTTTTCCAAATTGAAAAACTTTTTTTGGATAAATGAAATTGAAAACACAAAACAATATTGCTCACACAAAGTTCTGCTCTTCTCATAGTGAAAATTCATTTTTTTTTATCTAAACTGTGACATTGGTCGTTCTTTTGTTCGAATAATTTTTCAGTGGTATTTCATTATTTAACTCACCAACCAGTATAGGTTATAAGTAACAGGTATAGGTACTCTTATACAAATTCATTGGAATATCACTTTTTGCAGTAATAATTGTAGTACTTAATAATTTATTTTAAATTAACGACATGTAGGTACTAAGAATTTTATGGTGATTACTGATTAGTTGTGTAAACATTAAATTGAAATACAAAAATTCCTCGTTAGGTATGCTTATAACTTTCTACTTATTTTATAATATTTTTATGTTGTGATAAAAATAAGTTTTTAATTATATTTATAACATAGGTATATTATTACTTTCTTGCAATAACGAAATTCTATATTTATACTATAAAATATAAAGTTTAAAATATTACAATGTTACAATATTTTAGCAGAATGGTTGCAAGTTAAAGCGGCGAAAGAAGATTGAGAATTATATTTTTAATACTTTTTTATTCCTCATTATTTTATTTATATTATATATATTTATTAAACCTTATTATAACAATATATTATAAATTATTATTACTATTTTTCTGTTCACTTTGATTTTCAGTTTAAAAAAATACAACGTGCTGTATCAATCAATAGCCAATTAAATAAAAATTGCAACGTGATCGTTCTCAATCGTATTCGTTTTTTAGGTCAGTGGTGAGTTCTTTGTGAATTTTAGTGCTCTCAATCATTCAGCCAAAAAGGTATAAGGCACCCCATCGTTCGATAGTGAGTTTTTTTTAACTTGCGCTGGTGAAGTAGTTTTTTTTTTATCAATTAGTTGCGTACATACAATAAAACAATGGTAGCTACATTTACAGTAACAAATATAATATGATGTACAAATTACAAAAAAGATACCTCGTTATCATATAGCATACAATATACTTTACCTGAATAAGCCAGAATATAAATAGGTACAAGATAGATATATAAGTGTTAATTCTATATTTGTAAAAATAATAACAAACATTTTAAAATCAGTTATTTCCTCCCTGTATGCTACTGTTATGTAAATATTGTAAACACAGGCTGATGCCCAAGAAATTAAGGCCTTTATTTAAGCCTTTAAATAAAAAAAAACTTCCTCACCAAATAGACAAACAATATTAATAATATAATATACTGATTATACTAATTGACTTATGCTAAGTAAATAATTTTTCATATAAATTGTTATATGCATTATATGTTTATATAATACATCATTAGCAGGACATTAGTAGGGTCACATAAACAATCACTAAAGTTTTAAGGAATCAACATAGTGAGTTAACTGACACTTAAAAATGATTTAGTCTGTCCATTCAATTTTAGTACGACATTAAATTAATACATTTTTTATGCCGTCCAGCCCATTATATAATTAATTATGGGAGTATGTTTAAATTAATATGTAAAATACATTTGATGTGACTTTTCAAAATTTAAGCCAGCAATCAAGGATTTAACTAAGGTATTTTATTTATATCACAATTTTAATTAAATACATTTTGGGCTACATGTTTTCTGTATAGTAAATTCATTTATAACTTCACAATGCTTCACGATTGAAAAATTAGGAACGTATTGTGTTATTATTAAAGTTATTTACCGAGTTATAAAAGTATTCATTGTAAAATCAATACATTCATCGTTTCACTCAGAATCTAAAAATTTTGCTTAGCGCGAGTGTCCGTGTGAACGCTTAAAAGTTACTTAAATCATGAATACTGAAATTAGTTGTCTCCCAGAATTATCAAGTTAATGTAAATAACATATTAAATATTTTAATTACAATCACGCTGCTAAAAATATTTAAATCGCGTATCGTCGACGAGTCAATTTTTGTGGATTCAGATTTCAGAGCGCTAGACATCTTATCGTCGACGCTTTATTAGGAAGAATAGGACGATACAGGAAAATGTTTGTGGCCTGTAAGCCACATCTGTCAATATAATATTCTATACACACCTATGACTCAGGACTCAGTATACCAAAACTTATCGTATGTACGATTGACTTCCGTTCATAATTATTCTTTACTCTTTGGCAGTGTCGCAACTAAGATTTTTGGGCCCCAGGGTAGCAGAAGTTTTAGTCCGTACGTCATATTACCATCCTCCTGTAATCAAATGCTTTCAACCCTACCACAATTTTAACTATACCGTGATTGTATCGTAGGATGATTTCTCGAATTGGTTTACATCAGTGTTCATATTAAATACCTTAACACAGGAACAGATTAAACTTATTCTGTGCTTTAACCATGGGTTAGATAACACTACAGTACATTACCAATGTCATGGCTGAATCTCGAAAAAAAAAATTCCACCCTAGGAAAAATATGGAAATATGAAAAAATTGAAGTATAAATATGTTAAAGGTATTGAAAAACACTTAAAGTTACATAAAAAATCAATAATTCATGAAAAATGTTAAGTACTTACTTCAGTGGTTCCCAAACTGTGCGCCGCGGCGCCCTGGTGCGCCGCAATGTCTTTTCAGGGGCGCCGCGTTGCCGTAGAAATTTACCTGGTCTAAAAATAAATTCATGCTATGTCTTGGGAAGGGCGCCTTGAGAAAAGTTTAGTTCAAAAAGGGCGCCGTGAGCTAAAAAAGTTTTGGGACCGCTGACTTACTTAAATAACATATTAAAATATAATAAAAATAAAGTTAATAGAAGTCTATAAAATAATAAAATGTAACACAATAGTCAATAATAAATACAATAATTATTGTACCTAATTAGTTATAATTAGGTATAATGCTATAAAAATGTAATATTAAATTAGGTCCCACTTTAGGTACCTCTTCTTATGTTATGAGTCATATAACATATAACTTATGACGTACGGCTGTTAAAAAGGCCCGTTTATAGGTAAACATATAACCCATTATTATACCAAAAAACGTTTGTTTTTATGTAATGTTCCAAATCAAAGTTCAAATTATAAGTATCTATAGTAATTTCGTATATATCTATTAGTCAGATAATGAAAAAACCATCCAAAATGAATTCATATTTAACAAACTAAATTTTTTTTTAAATGACCTCTGCTAATTACCTTTCAATTTATGATGAATAATTTATAGTATGAAACTTTTTATATTTATCTATACATTTTGATATATACCATATTATCATTACACTATAAATAAATAGTAAATTACTAAATTATAGCAAAAGCTAAAAATATTATCTTCTTTAAGGAACTTGAAAATTAAATATATATATTAAAATATAATATACACTATATAGTATATAGGTATGTAAGCTTCCTTTTATTTTTTATGAAATTATATGATTTTTTTATGTAACTTTATTATTTTCATTACAATTTTAACATATTTATACTTCAATTTTGATATATTTTAATTCATTATTTTTGGGACTTTTTTACCGTCATGGCCACATAATATTATCGAATTTCAGATAAATCAAAAATTGATTATAAAACCTGTAATGGAATAAATATCGTGATATCGTAAACTATGAAATCGATAAGAAATTGTTTAACAAAATAATAGATAACATTTATATTTTTTAATTTTTATAGTTTTTTATTATTATTGAATCTAGACTAACACAGAAGGTATCCAATCACAGGAATTGTGCCCTAAAAATTAATTTCATAGTGCCCTTTTAGCAGGGGAGTTTCCATGCCCCCCCTTCCGGTAATTGCAGCACTGTTCTTTGGTTCATATTACGCATATTTTTAGTATGGGTCACGAAAATTGTATTTTTACATGGTACAATCGTCGTACGAAACAAAGGTACTCTTATGGTTATTTTGGTACTTTATTCGTACGACGAAATACGATTGGTTATAAATATAACATAAATACATAATTGCAATTTACAACGAAATTTGGGCATGTGGAAGCCGGGTTTCGTATACTTACTATAACTACAATTAATACCTCAGCTACACAATATCATAACTGCAGAGTTATATATTTGTATAAGTGTTAGTTATTTTCAAAACGTGTTAAATTGTAAATTCGGAATTTTTTCAATATTATATGTTTATTTTTATTGACAAAATGGATGATTTTGACTTGTTTGAAAATATTTCTGCTAAGAAGCATTTTAGAAATATTAATGAAGAAAATACCACCCGGCCACCGAATACCCTAGATAGGTATATATCCAGGGCCCTGTTAAGGGACAATGTATGGGGGAGCAAACATAAATATAATTAATATATTAGTATATTTTATATTAGTATATTAACAGTATTATTATAATTCAGTATACGCCTTCTTTACAAGTACCTAAATAACAAAAAAAAAAATTTCTCGCTACTCTCGAACAAACAATATACTATATACAATATACTTACAAAAATACTATATTATGCTTATCTACTCATTATAGTTATCTACTTTTGCTACACTAAGCTAGTGTCTTTTACAATACACTTAAACACATGAACCAGATACAATGTATACAAATTAATAAATTATTACATACACAATATGTCTATATATCATTATTTATTTCAAACTCATGTCTTAT